TAATATTCTTTACTATAAAGGGTAGAAAAATTATTCACTATTGTTATACACTTTGGGAGGAACTAATGACTATTATAAAACAGTGCATCACAATATCAAAGTAAATGAAAAAAATACATTTTTGATTATTATAACTACTGACTGGAATTCCCCATACCAGAATGATAGAAAGATTTTTGAAAAGTAATCCTCATCCTGCATCAAAATTCTGAAGTTTTACATTTCGTGTCTCCTTCCATCTGCAGACATTTCTTCTAAGTGTATACTATTTGCCCTGGTCCTTTTCATAAGAAGCTACTGTGCAGCTAAACTTTGGTGGCTCACATCTCTAATCCTAGCTACTCAGGAGGCTTGAGACCTGAGGATCACAGTTCAGAGCTATCCCAGGCAGGAAAGTCTGTGATGCTCTTATCTCCAATTAACCACCAGAAAACCAGAAGTGGCGCTGTGGCTCAGGTGATAAGAGTGTTAGCCTTGAGCTGAACACTGCAGGGACAGTGCCCAGGCTCAGAGTTCAAGACCCATGACTGACCAAAAGGAGGAGGAGGAGGAGGAGGAGGAGGAGGAGGAAGAGGAGGAGGAGGAGGAGGGAAGCAGCATCAGCAGTTACTGTATACTGAGAAATTTTGTCCAAAGTTACAAAATAATAAATATTTATATTCAAATGCTTCTTAATGAGAGGGAGAGAAAGAAAGAGAGACAAAGAGGGAGATTCATAGCTCATTAAGGCACGGCCCTGACAATTCTGTCTCAGAGTTGTTTAACTCTTACTATAGCTATCTCTTATCACATATATACCATGTTTTCATGTTAAACACTACTCAAACTCAAATTTCTGCTTTCCAGTCACTTGTGCTACTGTTTTTGGCATGTGGAATTCATTCATTTCTGTGTCCTAAAATTTTAATTCTATTCACCTTCCCTTCAGCTTTTTAAAGCACAAATGACAGTAAACTAACAACTACCAATGTAAATGTGTATGCTGATCTGAATCCTCTTTGTACAACACTTAAAATTCAAAATTATACAAATAGAAAGAGATCAATTTAAATGTGACAAGAATGTCTTCCATTTTAGATTGCCAGGGATATACTTAAGAACCCATCCAGTTAGTATTTGACATTCAGTTTCTGTGAGTATGGATTTGCACACGTTTTACCCTGTCTCTTGTAAGATCATGTTTGCATCATTTAGCAGCATTCTGACAAGTAGCACTAGAACTCAATGGTGCATATGATTGTAGCAAAGCAAGGTTAAATGTCTTGTGACCTAAAAGGCTGGAAGATATCCATGCTGTTTTTTTCTTTAAAGACTACTTGCCGTAAATTTAGCTTCTTTTTTGTCTTCTGTGTTTACCCTGAAGGATTTTTATCCTTTGGGAAAATTGAGGAAGAGAACCATAACTCTCTTTTAATGAGGTGAAAGAACACTACTTGTTCATTAAAGGGAGTTTATTTCTCATGCCTCACATGATTTTTTAAATTATGTGATGGGTAGAAAGCTTATTCTTTGCATTTTCAATTGTCCCTGGATACAGAGCACAAATTCCTCTAACTGGCTAACCATTGCAGTGTGTGTGTGTGCACGCGTGTGTGTGTGTGTGTGTGCGTGTGCGTGTGTGTGTGCGTGCGTGTGTGTGTATTTATAAAGTATATTCATAGTCTCTGACTGCTACAGAAAATTACCAGAAAAATTGTAGTTTAAAATAATAGAAATCTATTCTCATGTAAATCTGAAGGGTGGAAGTCCAAGTTCAATTTCTTTTTCTAAAACTCAAGGTGTCCACAGTGCTGATTCCCAGTAGAATCTCTAGCAGAATAATGTAGCCCTCCCCAGCTTCTTAACATAGCTACCAAAACTCTCTCTCTCTCTCTCTCTCTCTCCCTCTTGTTGGCTCTCTTGCTCTCTGTCTCTCTCTCTCTTCTCTGTTTCTCTCTCTCCTTCCCTCCCTCCCTCTCCTTCCCTCTCCCTTTCCCTCCTCTCTCTCTCTGTCTCTGTCTCTCTCTCTCCCTCTTCCTATCTTTCTCCTCCCCTCATCCTTTCTTTTCCTTGTCTTTCCTTCCCTAATCCTCTTCCCTTTGTTCTCCCTCTCCTCATCCTCCCCCTTCCTACTCCTCCCTTCCCTTTCTCCTTCCTTTCCTTTCTTCTTCTTTGCTTTCCCTCTCCTCTTCTTCTCCGTCCCTTTCCCCCTTCCTCCTCCATTTCTCTTCCTTCCCCTGGCTTTTCCTCTTCTTCCCGCTTCTCCTCCCTCCCTCCTCCCTTTCTCTTCCTCTCCCTTTCCCTCCCTCTTCTCCTTTCTTCTCCTTCCCCCTCCCTCTTCTCCTTCTCCTCTCCTCTCTCCCTCTTCCCTCCTCTCTGATCTCCCCTCCCCTCTCCTCTCTGGGCTCTGTTTTACAAGGAACACTGTAATTATGTCATGACAAATAAGACAAATCGAACTCAGGACATGTTCATATGTACAAAGGCCTTTTATCATATAAAGTGGCACTCACATGTTCTTGGTGTGAGGAGTGGCATTTGCGGTAGGTGGAGTTAATCAGTCCTCCAAATACATGCTAACCATGGGACAACAATGAGTTTAGTATTCAAATGAGGCTGAATAATGAATATGATGATTCTCCAAAGCACTCAAAGACAATAATACAGAAATGAAAATATCCCTTGCTTCTCTAAAAGCCCATTATTGTTGTGACCCTGATATTTCCTGTTATTGAAGAAGCTGCTCAGTGTCTAATGGAGACTAATATAGAAGACAATTGTGTAGGGTCATGTACACAGAAGACTGGAGTGATAGGGTAGAAGATGATCACACATTAGTATGAGGCAGTAAGTAAATTTACAGTAAGTAAATACAAAAGCAACAAAAACAATGAAATATTTCAAATCTCAGTGTTCTATTATGTTGACTAATACCATAATACATATACATATGATAGGAAAAAATCTCATAATTTGAGTATATACTAATCTATTTGATGACTTACACTTAAATGAATATTGATTTAAAATAATTAATAATTTTTAGTTTAATACCTCAAAGTAGACTATATTGGCCTTGTAATGACCAAATCTCTTGTTACTTTCTATAGATTTGCTACAAAGAACCCTAAACTACAAGACCTGGGCAATTTAGGGTATGAGAAATGATAGATAGATGAGAGATAGGTAGATGTTAAATAGAAGAAAAAGATGATAGATATATAGATGATAGATAGAGCCTAAACTAAAGACTAAAAGTAACTAGGGTATGATAGATGATAGATAGATGGTAGATAAATACAGATAGAAGGTAGATAAAATGATTGATAATATTTAATAGGTTGATAGATGATAGCTAATTGACATAGAGAGATATTACATACATAGATAGATACAGAAATGAAGTTAATAACTTACTGGGAAGTTGGCTACCAATTACCTTATGTCTCAGTTTTCTCTATTGTCTGCCCCAAATCTAAGGGATTTCTATACCTAAACAATTTGCTGGAAAATATTGCTTCCAAATCTCAACCTTTTTCACCTGAGAGAAATTTCAGAAAGAAACAAAATGTCTTTAATAAAGTTGTTTATTTCATAGAATAAACACAGAAGCACTGAGAAAATTCAGGAAACAGAGGATATCTGTAGGTTTATATTGTTGCGCATTTAAAAATCTGGCTGAGACCTGTAGAATGGCAAAGGAAATCTAATTGTCTCCTTGAGAGCAATGTCCTATCCCTAGAGCTCATCCTACCTGAAGGAGTGAGTGCTGTCCTCTGTCTGAACTCATCAGTGGTAAGAAAGCACTGCTGCTTCTAATTCAGCAGAAGCTGTAAGTCTGAATTAGAGTTTATATTTTGAAGAACACAATGTCAGGCTTTCAGTTTAAATTAAAATCTCTTCTAATATTTCTTTTTTTTTCTTTCGCTTCCTCCTAAGGAGTGAAAATTGCTTCTTAACATGTATAATGCCTATAAAAAAAACTACTCAGGGCATTCAAATAAAAAGTTTTAAGCATAGTCATTCCTTTTCTGTTAGTCTAGACCAAAAATAACTTCCACAAGGGAATTAAATAAAATCTATGTGCAAAGAAAGCAAATATGTAATAAGTAGAATTTATTTGGAGAAAAATATGTTACACATCTGACAGCATTTGGGTTTTCCAACAAGAACAATGGAGCATATATGGTATAATCTTAGTCAATGAAGAAGGTATAATGTTGACATACTGGACATCGTTAATATTACATAGTGTAGAAACTTAAAGAGGATTTCATGGAAGCGTGGTTGCTTAGCAACCACAGACCCATGGGGACAAGTTCATTTTTAGCATTGTGCAATGTCACCAAGACCCACTGTGCTTGCTGTGAGTCTAATGCATGGAATTCTCGAAACACATCAGATGAGAAGCTGTCATCAGGTATGGCCTGGCATAGATACTGAACAGTACATATTCAGAGAAAAATGCGTTTTTTTTTCTTGATACATCAATGCCTCGCCCCTCTCTTTTGAGTAACACTAGTTGGGTAACCCACACCATCCAGCTTATTTCAGAATGTAGAATCAATTCCCACAGTATTGTGCAGTGGCAAAGAGTGGAAAAACACAGGTCTTCGCTTCATTGTATCCTTGTGAACCTTTTAATAACCATGTTTCTGAAGCCTATAGATACATGAACTCTTGTTAACTGCTAATTGGCAGACGAGAGTTTGCTTATTAACATTAGAATCACTGTTCACCAAAGCTATGTGTCTACAGATGGTAAGTGATGGGGGGATGTTCCAAGTGATGTTTATGGATAAACTTATTTTTGTATGAGGATAAACACATGAGCATCTGTAGCTAAATTACACACACACATACACACACACACACACACACATTCAGATGAGATGTTTCTGTTTATTGTTCCAAGTAGGGAGAAGGAAGAGAGTCTGGGGAGTTTCCAGACCATCACCAGGGAATATATAAAGACTCCTCCAGCCCACAACCACAGCATCCCTGCGTATCTACCACTTGGCATGAATCCGGGCTCCATGTCTCTTGTGGGCTATCCTGAGCTTTGCAATACTTCAGCCTACCGAACTCATTGTTACCTCCCGGTGACTCCTGTTTCTTTTTGCTCCAATGATGTAAGCTCTACTTTTGGACACTACTTACCCAGTAGCTACCAAAGCAACCTCTGGCTCCTGGACCACTGCCACGAATCCTACTGTGAGGCACCGAGCTCTGAATCGCCCAGCTGTGAGCCTCAGTCCTGCACCACTGCACGGTCTGACTCCAGGAATTCCTGCGGGCCCTGCAATGCTCCATCTGCAGGCCAGGTCATCAGTGCCTGTGAAACTAGGAACACCAGAGCCAGCCCCAAGAGAAGCCCAGGCACTGGGACAAAGGGGCATGTATCCAGGTGCCACAGACCCGCTCCATGGGCCTCCAAAGCTTGTCAGATCCTGCGCCCTCAGTCTGCTTGTTTGGGACAACATAATTACTTATCAAAGAATCTTCAACCCCAAACTCACTGCAGACTGAGTAGCTGGGGATATAAAAGCTACCACAATTCTGACTTCCACACCCGTGGCTTCTCACCAGCATGCTATGTTGTCAATGGCTACCAACCTCAGAGGTATTTTATGAGCTACCGACCACTGACCTATTTGTCTAGAAATTTCCGGTCTCTGAGCTGTGTGCCCAGTACCTTTCCGCCTCTGAGGTACTTATGCAGTGGTAGCAGACCCCTGCATTGCTATTGATCAACTTAATCGCATTTCCAGCAGCTAGAAATTGCCCAATGGGGCAGATTTCACTAAGCGATAGGCTCTCTAATATTCTGCTGAATTGCTTAATACATCCTCAGAATTCTGTTACCTTTACCTCAAATATAACTCCAGGGTTTTATTAACCACAGATATTACTGCCTGATAGATTTTTTTTCTTATTTCTCGGCTAATGCTTTTTAAATTGAAGACTGATTCTGCAAGTATTATTTCAAAGACTGATGATGGATGGACTTACAGAAGAGACTCTTGTGAAGGGGAACCATGAAGAGATTTCTTATTCTGTTTGACTCTTGTCTGCCAAAGGAATTCTCATCTTTCTTTGCTTGATGGAGGGAACATTCTCGGATTGATGGTTCATTCTAAAGTACAAGTTCCTCCAAATGTTTTTGCCTTGTATTAGCATATTTTTTCAGTCTTCTAATTAACATCTTCCCAGGGAAGTGAGTGATAACATTATTGTAAACATACTTAAGTTGAACTATTTCTTACTTTCCTTGCCATTTGCTTGTAAGAAAGAGTAACAGACAAATAGATTTCAGAAGCAGAAGATTTTGACATGTCTGTTTGAAAGAAGCTATAAAGATAGAATCAATGGCTACCTGGTAATGCTGCTGCTGATACAGAGAAGAAAACTTCAGAATTAATGGAAGTACAAATACCTCTAGTTGAAGAGATGATAAACTTGTATGGACTCTTTAGATGACTATTGGACTGTGTTCAAAATTCTACAGTGTTGCCCTGATGAATCATTGCATTCTGATTCTGGAAAAATTCCTGGTATTTAATAAATTTTTTATCTGTAAATGGTGGCCTTTTTTCTTTATTTTATATTCATTGAAGTTTAATTTCTGTTCTGAGCAATATGCACGACATTATCAAAGTGCTAGTTTCTTTCTGCTTGTTTTATAGCCAAAGTTAAAACATGAAGAAAGACTGGGCATGGTGACTCATGCCTGTTAATTTCATCTCTTTCTATGGTAGAAGTTGGAGAAGAATAGTATTTTGACACTTGTCCAGGCAATAATTTAGCAATCATTTCATCTTCAACAAGCTGGCAAGAACACATCTGCCTATGTACTAGCTACCCGGAAGCCTCTAAGTAGGAGTTCCATGGTTTGCAGCTAGCCCCAGCTCTGCCTCCCTTCTCCCCCCCCCCCAAAAAAAAAAACACTTACCCAAAGCATAAGCAAAATCTTGGTTCTGTTCATTTTGTTGGACTGAGTTAGCCTTTCTGAAATTTACAATATTTGAATTCTCCCTAGAATCCTCATTATTTGGGGTAATATATTTGTGTATACTTGAAAGGTAGAGGTTGGGATCAATGGAGAAGGACAAACCAATAGAGGAAGAGGGGTGAATGCAGTGATAAAATTCAATGCATATCCAACAAAATTAAGGAAATTAAGGGGAGGGACAAGGCTGGGAGGGGTGGGGAAGAATGATGGAAGGGATGACATTCTAGTCATAATTGCTTTGTTGAGTGGCAACTCCTTGGCACAACTACTTAAAGATAATATTAACATTATTTCACATAAAGTAAAAGGTTTGATTCTTGTATCATGAAAAGATGTCTGTGGTTGTAGTTCAAGTGGTATATATGAAAAAGGGAGATGTAGACTATGAAGTCTAGAGCTTGTGAATTGTTTTTGTCATGTCCAACGTTCAGTGCATTAAATGTATTTCTCTCAGCAATGTCTGTGATTTGGAAATTTTAGAAATTTTGGAAAATATCTATAAAACAAATCATTTTAACAAAAGAAGTACAAAATATCTGTATTTTCCTATACAATATGTATACTAATTAAATATAGGTAAGATTTGGAAAGTTGAATAGATTTAAGATTTAACGTTGAGAAGTACATTCATCCAATAAAATGAAAAGAACATGATTGATACCCTAAGAACTTTTTAATAAAAAACAAGCATTGTGTATAGACAAGTAGAATGTTTTCTGGAAATGTGAGTAACTGGGGAATGGACTGGAAGAGAAGGATCAGGAGTATTACACAGCAAGGCCCTGGTTTCAAGTCTCAGAACCTCAAAAAAAAAAAAAAAAAAGAAAAAGGTAAATATCTAAATTAAAACTTGCGAAAGTAGGCCAGGTATGGTAACATACATTTCTAATCCCATTGATAGCGATCCAGATGCAGGAAGATCAGTAGTTTAAGTATAGCCTTTAGCAAAGTTAATGAGATACTCTCTCAAAACAAAATATAAATAAGAGGGCTTGGGGTGGGGTTCCAGGGGTAGGCCACACAGAGTTACAAAGCATACAAACTGATGCCAAAGCATTCCAATGGTATCTACTAATCAGTCAGTTGCTAGCTCATATATATATATATATATATATATATATATTCATATATATACACACATATATACTCATACCTATATTTACATATATACATATATATACATACATATACATACATACGTATGGAAAATTCCAAAAATAATATCAACATGCTATTTCTGCTTGAACATAGCTAGGAATGATCAGGTCACAATTTCCTATGACTTTGCCACTCAATTTTCTAAGTGTTCTGTCTGCTGGAAATTTCTTCTGTTGACAACTTATAATAAGCCATGAGAAACATTCATTGATCATATATGACCTGTTTGATTCCTTTAACACAGGATAAATGTTCAGCATTTACAAATGATTTCTGTGTGCCTTGGACATTATTTGTTTCCTCTTATAAGCTCTAATATCTTAGAGACATTGAGTGAGACACCTTGAAAATCTGAAGATTCTTAGAGTCTATTCTCAAGAACTGATCATAGTAGTCGTACACTAAAAAGAACTTAAATACTGCCTCAACCATTTTATGAATGGGAAAAGATTAATTCTATCTAGGCAACACTTGCAGGGGAAGAGGAGAGATGGCATGATACGCAGGCCTCCATAGTGGTAGAAATAGCGGGCCTAAGTGTTCAACAATAGTCAAAGAAGGCCAGGTGACAATTGCCTTTTGAAAGATGTGCAGGAGAGTCACCTGCAGATGTACAAATAGTCACCAGAGGAAAATAATTGGGAAGAAAATAGAGGCTCTTCGATTAAAAATCTTGAGCAAAGAAAATTTTCTTAAATAAAAACAAGCAAGTTGACAACAAACTAAAACGTTGTTAATGTGGACATGGTAAGATTAAAGTAGATGATAGTAATTACAATAAATAAAGGTAAAGAATATGATGGGGCATGTGACAACTCTCTGTACTTATCAACCAAATTTATTGTACACATTATGCCTAAAAAGTAACCTAGTCATAAAAAACTAATAAATCAATAGTGAAAACAATCCCACAAGGTTGACAGAAAACATGTATAATGTACAGCATGAAATTGTTTTCCCAATAGTTTAATAATTACTGTTAAAAGCAAGGACAAACAGTTCAGAACATGAGCAAGCAGTATGAACAGACAAATACAATCAAATATTATATCTAACTTTATTTATAATTAAAAACACATTATAATTTTACCATTGGCAACTATTCTGAGTTAGTCTGCTCAAAAACACATTGTCACCCACTACAGATGGAGGCAAAATTCAAACAGAGTCACTGCATAGAGGTTACACAGGTCCAGTGACCACGGCAACTCTGCTTCTCAGAGTCTCCACAGAATATTCTTTGAGAATTCACAATAGTCCACTATTTTATTTCCTCTACCCGCAGCCAACCGTGGTCCAAAGGTATTATACATAAAATTGGAGCCATTTATGCTCCAAAAATGTATTCATGAAATTCCCGCAATAAACAGCTCATCAGCTGTAAATCCTGCCTCAGTTTAACTATCGTGAAAAAGAGTCTCCCTCTGTCCCACTGAGGTTGTGAGTCCTCTCAGTGTGGGGCCTCTTCACTCTGTATAACTATGTATATCTTCACTCTGTATAACTATGTATATCTTCACTCTGTATAACTATGTATATCTTCACTCTGTATAACTAGCAACTCTCTCAGGTATCACATTAACCATCAAAATGTCATTCGGCTTCTGTCACCTTATTTTACTAATGCCCTCAACCTATAAAAGTGGAGATGCTGAAATATACATTGGAATATTATGGTTTCACTGTTTTCTGATTTATTAATTGCTGTTGGTAATCTGTGACTGTATCTAATTATAGATTAATTTCTACCTGTGGTTTGTGTGTATCAGGTCATCCACTGGGAACCTGGAACATAATGTCTTTTATTAGAAGAAGTTCCTTATTCATTTCACTAGTCCCTGAAAAACGAAAAGTTACAATGGAAAACTAAAAATTTTAAAGCCCACTGATAGAAGAATGAGAAACAAGCTATTATGTAGTAATATTAATAAATGTCTTAGAGTAATTAAAATTAATTGAGATCCATCTCTATTAGTAATATAAAAATCATATTGCAAAATAAAAATTAAGAGTTATAAGCTATATAAGAGTGATACATTTTATGGATAACCACACACACATAAACAAATGCTTTGTGTATAACCACATGTAAACAAAAGGAAATAGTGCTGGAAAATTGTTCAGTAGAACAGTCAGTATCCAATATCTCCAGGATGTTATTAATAAAAAGTGTAGAAGACTCAGACATCAGTCCTCTGTTGCAATATCTTCTAGGAGGCATTAGGATATAAACTTTTATCAATGTCCTGGGAATTTCACTGAGGCAAGAGAGTATACTTAATAATTAACATAATATATCCATAATCACAGTGGAAACTATTTCAAGTCTTTTAAGATTTGTACTTACAATTACACTTGTGAATTTTCTTTTCCCTTATATTTTACCTAATAGCTAACCCATACTTTCTCCTTGACAAATAACACCTATCATTTTTTGTAGGAAAAAAGTCTAAAAAAAGTAATTTTATACACTTGAGGTTCTTTGGGGGTAAGCATGAAAGTTTTTTCTTTTACTTTCCCCTCTCTCATAAACACAGTAGAAGAAGAAATGCACTTAAGCAAATCCATATATACTCACTG